GACATTTTATTCTTATCTCCTCTCCGATGTGTGTGCAGAAACCGGGAAGAACTAAGTCCCTCAATGGAGGTTGTCCCTCGGTGTTTACCGTGACAAACCACCGGGGACCATGGCAACGGATGGGCCCAGGGGAAACATCACCATCGTAACCCTTCAGGTTGTAACATGAAGGAAATGGGTATTTCTCGTGCAAACCAGGTCTAAGAAGAAAACAAAAATTGTGCACGAGCCAAAATATTGTGTTAGTGAAGAACCTATTTTGTTTTCCAGGCTATCCCAATGCTTCCATATGGATAGCCGCTACTGTGTCGTTTGTCAAATTTAATGGGGCCACTATAAGCTAGTATGATGCACCGTTCTGCTGGAGAGTAGATTTGCCATTTCGTGATCAAAATATTTACTCTACAAAAAGGAAGGCAAGAAGGTGACTAGAATTCTGGCAGGGCACCTGAACAGTGTGGTGATTCTCTATGAGCTCTACCCATCGTGGAGGCAGATGGGTACCTGGAGTGTGAGCAAATTGCAAGATGTTGAGCTGGGCAGCAGCGTTAGGGGAGGATGGAGAGGGAGAGTAGGAGGGGGGAGAGGAGAGAGGAGGAGGGTGGACGTGATGTGAGAGGAGATGGATTGGGGAGGGAGGGGCAGGGGAAGGGGAGGAGGAGAGAGAGAGAGGGGGGGAGGGAGGAGAGGGGTGGAGCGGGGGAGTGAGGTGGGGGTATGGGGGGTGGGACAGAGGGGGGAGAGGAGGGGATGGGGGAGAGATGAGGGCGGGGAGTGGAGGGGGAGAGTGGGACGGGAGGCGAGAGGAGGCGGGAGGGGCAGGAGGGGGAGGAGGGAGGGAGAGGGGAAGGAGGGTTGATGGGAGAGAGGGAGTAGGGAGGCGGAGAGGTACGGAGGGAGGAGAGAGAGGTAGAGCGGTAGAGAGGGGAGGGGGGAGGGGGAGTGTAAGGGGGAGGGGGGAGGGGGGAGAGAGCGGAGGAGGAGCGGAGATGGAAGAGAGGGAGGTAAGAGTGGGGAGAGGGATGCTGGGGGGGGAGGGTCGAGGGAGGCGAGAGTGGAAGGAGGTTAGGAGGGAGGGAGAGGGGAGAGGGAGGGCTTGGGGGTAGGAGAGAGGGAGGAGGGGGGGGATCCGAGACTCTGGGGAGAGGCGAGGAGGGGGGGAGGAGGTGGGGGGGAGAGAGGTGATTGACGAGATGAGGGGGGAGGATGGGGAGGGAGTAGAAAAGGGAGGGTGAGTAGGGAGTGGGGTCGATGGAGTGATGGATGGGAGGTAGATGGGGGGGGGAGATTATGGGAGAGGCTTATATGGTGGGCGGATAGGGGGAGGCAGGAAGGGGGGTGGGCGGAGGGGAGAGGGAGGGGGAGGGGGTGGGAGGGGAGGAGGGGGGGGGAGAGGAGGAGGAGGGAGAGAGGAGAGAGCGGGGAGGAGGGGGAGGGGATGGAGCGGGGGGGCAGAGGGGGTATGGAGGGAAGAGAGCGAGGGAGAGGAGGGGGAAGGGAGGTAGAGGCGTTTTTTATGGTCTCTTCGTATCTAGTTCTTCTTCTTCTCTTTTTTTTTTTTTTCTGTTCTTTCGGTCTATTTTTACGTTCTCGTCTTCTTTTCGGTCCGGTATCTACTCTCGGGAGAGGGAGGAGGGAGGAGGGAGACGAGAGGGAGAGACATGGTAGGGGGAGGAGGAGGAGGAGGAGAGGGAGGGGAGGGAGGGAGGGGGGGGGAAAAAAGAGGACGGGCACGGGAAGAGGAGAGAAGAGGGGGAGAGAGGAGGGGAGGAGATGCGGGGGGGGGAGAGGGAGAGAGGAGGGAGAGAGTGGAGAGAGGGAGACCAGGGGGAGGGGGGGGAATGGCAGGAGAGGAAGAGGATAAGGAGAGGAATGCGTGGAGGGGAGGTAGGGAGGAGAGGAAGGAAGGGGAGGGAGACGAGAGGAAGGCAATAGGAAAAGGACGGAAGGGAGGAAGTGAGGAGGAGGGGGACGGGCGAGGAGGGGAGAGCGGGGAAGGGGAGGGGAGGTAGGTATGATAGGTAGGGGGCAAAGAGAGGAGCAGAGTGGTCGGGAACAGGGTTGGGGATAGAGGGGGGAGAGAGGCGAGAGGAGTGAGGGGAGATCGTAGGGGCACAGTAGGGGAGCAAGGGGGTGTAGAAGAAAGAGAGGGAGGTGAGGGGATGGAAGAGGGGAGGGAGAGGGGGAGAGGCAAGGAGAGGGGAGGAGAGGGACGGGGAGAGAGGGAGGGGGTGAGCGAGAGGGGTAGGACGGAGAGATGAGGGAGGAGGGAGCAGAGGGAGGAGGGGAGGCGGGGGGGAGGGGGGAGGGAGGGGGGGAGGAGAGGAGGAGTATGGCGTAGGGAGCGAGGGCAGAGGGAAGGGAAGGGGGAAGAGAATAAGGCGGGGAGGGGCGAACGGAGGGAGGGAGGGGGGGAGGGAGGGAGGGAGGGGGGATAGCATGAGGGGAGAGTAGGAGGAGTGAAAGGCGGTAGAGGAGGAGAGAGAAAACGAGGAAGGGAGGGAGACAGAGGGAGGGGGTAGGGGGGGGGGAGGGGTGGAGAGGGGAGGGGGGGGGAGGAAGGGAGAGGGGGGGATGGAAGAGAGGAGGGAGGCGAGACAGGGGGAGAGGGGGAGAGGTAGGGAGGGAGGGCGGAGGGGGAGGAGCGGAGAGGAGAGGTGAGAAGAAGAGGGGGCGAGGAGGGAGAGGAGGAGCAGAGGGGCGGAGGGAGGGAGCTGAGTGAGGAGGAGGGGAAGCAGTGGGAGTTAGGGGAGAGGGAGGGTAAGTAGGCGATGGGACGAGGGAGGAGGAGAAGGAGGAGGAAAGGAGGAAAGAGAGGAGGAGAGGAGAGGTAGGAAGAGGAGGAGGGAGAGGGAGGCGAGGGCGGAGGAGGGACGGGGAGAAAGGCGGGAGCAGGGCGGGGAGAGAGAGAGAGGGGGAGGAGGAGAGAATGAAGGGAGAGGGGGAGACGGAGGATGACGGACGGGGCGCGGGTGATAGGGGGTATGGGGAGAGGGAGGGAGGAGAGGGTAGGGAGACAGAGGAGGGGGGGAAGGTCAGTACGAGAGGAAGAGCGGCAGGGGCGAGAGAGGGAGGGCCAGAGAGGGGAGGAGAACGGACGGCGGGGAGGCGGAAGGGGAGAGCGAGGTGATGAGGAAGGGGGTGAGATATGGGGGAGGGGAGGAGGGGGGATTGGCGGGCAGGGCGCAGACAGCAGATGGCGAGGGATAGAGATAGTAGAGAGCGAGGGAGGAGGATAAGGGAGAGGGGGGAGAAGGAGGAGAGCAGAGAGGAGGAGAGATAGCGGAGGGTGTGAAGCGATGAGTGGGGGAGGAGGATAGGATAAATTCTTATGGTATTCAGTCTTCTTCGCGTTTATTTCGCGTAGAGGTTGTCTACCACCCGCAGTACCTGGTCAACGTGGACCTTCCCCACTCCCTCTCTCCTCCCTCCCCCTATGTACAGCGTCCAGCCCCCCTCAACAAAATGGCTCTCTCTACGTAAGTGGACTACATGTCTCCGTTTTAAGATGATTGTTTTTGACGCGACTCGACACCAGGTGGTCAATATACGATGAGCCTTCACTGAATTATGGTTCACGCTCAAGTGCGTCCTCTTCCCTTCTCCTGGTGACGCTTGTGTGTTTGCCTATGTAAGATTGGCGGGAAACTCCTCCATGCCTCAACCTCACCCAAAAGTAAGGAGAAAACAATAAATGAGAGAAAAAACAAATTATGCCACCATTTCCACAGATCTCTTGTCTTCATGTGCCAGCTATCAATGCTACAATGTGAGACTGGCAATCAAACTCTCTTACAAGAAGAAGCCACCATCCTTACTTACTTTCCTCTCTCCTTCCCTATCTGCCCTCTCTCTTTCCCTCTCTACCCCCTCTTTCTTTCTTTCTTCTCTCCCTTATCCCTTACTCCTCTTTCTCTCTCATTTCCACCCCCTCATCTTTGTCTTCAGCTCCAATCGAATGCTAACTCTCTACTACCTCAACAATCCGTGATGTTGGTGATCGATGACTTTTCGCCAAGGTCTTCTCATTTCATCTCTCTTCTTCTTCTGGATCGTCTTTGTTGGTTGGTGGAACACACTGCGGTGAGCATGCGACCTCTACATACAGATATAGAAATTGGCAGAGTAGAGATTTTGTACAGTTGCATGTTGGTGTAGAGTGAATCACCATAGAGTGATACAAAACTAATATTTAGAGTTCAACGAAACATATATAGCTCAGTTTGGGGTTGTTTTATACTTTGATCCCAACTAATTTTTTACATCTTGTGACTTGTCAAATTTTTTGGACATTGCAGTTAAACTTGTGTGTGTGTGTGTGTATGTGTAGGGAGACAGAGAGAGTGGGTTGAGGGGAGGAACTCTGGGGAGCTACTGGAAGCAGCTGGTCACCATAGCAACCAGCTCAATCTTCATGTTTGTCTACGAGTTCTGTGAGAGGTAATTAAACTAAGTCAAACCCTTTTGTTTCTTCTCTTCCTCCACTCTCTCCTCTTTTCTCTTGTTTATTTCTCCTCAGCTCTCTCTATCTTCTTCTTCACTCTGTTGTGTTTTCCTTCTTACTTTAATTTAAAATTCTTTTCCCCTCCTTCCCTCCCCTCTCCTCCCCCTCTCGTCTCAGAGGTATCCAAACAGTGTTCCCATTCTACAGTCTTTGGAGCACCTCATTTGGAGAAACTGTGGCTGTATCCATTTATAACATCTCTTCCTATTATATGACACGGAAGAAAAGTGGTTCCTATTTTATTTTGTATATAAGCACATGTACAGACATCACTCTGAAAATTTGGAAGAATCTTGACATTTTAAAACTCTGTGTTTCCTGAGCTTTGTACAGTACTTGTTTGTGGGTGTGGCCACGTTGTCGGGCGTGGTCTACCTGGTGATGTTTGTTGTGATGGTTGCCAGGGCCTACCGTCACCTTAGAGACAGGCAGACCAACATCTCCCACCTCTCACCTCAAGCACAGAAGACGGCACAGGTTGGTTGCACAAGCAAAATCAAGCCAACAAAATAAGCAATTTTAGTTGCTGTGTTGTGTATAATGTTTGGTGCAAACTCCGGTGTTCCACTCTGTTGCAGGCTGTGTTCTCACAGTGGAAGTGTTTCCTGTTGCTAACGGCAACCGTTGCTGTGACGAGCATATCGACTGTCATCCTACCGTCTGAGGCTCTGGTCTACCAGTGGCAGCATCACAAGAATACCTACTCTATTTATAGTAACTTGATTACATAGTATATCCCCATCAACTAAAATTATTTCGACTTTACCGGCAGCTAGAAATTGTCTATGGTACATAAATCAATTCTATGGCCTTACGAAATTTAGGAAGAACTTGCTTGTTGCCCGTAGAAATTTTTAGCATGGCTTTTGTTTCAACAGGAAATTCTGTGTGAGTGTTTCTGTCATCACTGACTGCGTGTTTTTTGTGTCTGTTGCAGCTGCCCTTGTGCTTGGTAACTATGGACTGTGGAATGCATACACCTTGGTTACCGCTTTTCTCCACGCTCCATCACCAAGTTAGCTTCTCATTCTCCCTCGTCTGTTGTGTGGGTGAAATCATTTGTTTTTTTACAGCTGTTGCTAAGAAACAAGATTCTTCTGCTGATAATGAAACTGCCGAGAAAATGCTGACAAAGCAGTCAGTTGAATAAGAAGTTTAACCCTCTTGTGACCCGCTCACACTCCAGCTAAACCCAATGAAAAACATGTAGTACCATTTTCATTCATTTAGCCATTGCAAATCACTTTTTCTTTTCATAATAGTGACAATATTATTCTGAAAACACGATTGGAAACACGTTCCCAATTTAGATGGGACCCTAGAAAGAGAAAATTTTCAGCGGGTGATAAATAAAAAATATTGGTTAGCTGACAGAGTTACGTAAGTGTCTGTGAGGTGTCTCTCTAAGAGGAATTAGTTCTTCTGAGGGAGATTTCCTTATGGTTGTTGGTTTGTCTTTGATGCAGAAGGCCACCAGGAGAGCTAGGAAGACGGGGAATGCTCCGATTAGGAATGGGATGCCAAGAAATAGCCGGTTCTCCTGCGGGGAGAGGATGAGAGAGGCAAAGAAGAGGGAGAGATGGAGGAAGAGGAGTGAGGGGTGAGAACAGTAGAATGAATGCAACACATGGGGACCAAATGCAACCAGTTCAGTTTTTATTTTAGAATCACGACAGAGATGCCAGTTTGGGTCTTACGTACATTCAGATGTCTATATACCTAGGTAGGCTCGTTTCGATTTCCAGTTACAAGTGCCCAGGAAGGAAGAAGAAGGCAGCATAGAGAAGGATAGGAGAGAGAGGCAGCATAGAGGAGGGAGGGACATTTTGTTGTCTGAACTAACCTTGTCAAGATGAGGGATCGAGGCAGCAGTGGTGTTGGTCTTAGCAGGAATATCAGTGGCCTGAGCCCCAGCTAGTGCAGGGTCAATGTTGACACTGGAGTCACTGAGGTGAACATCACTCAACCAGAACAGTAGACCAAACAGAGCTGGACCCAGTCCGTTACACAACCCTCTGATGCCTGCATCCATGAGAAATGATCTGATATCTTCATCGATGAGAAATGTACACAGTACAAAGAAAAGGCAGTCCAAAACTGTACTTTGGAACACGGGAATTCTATGCACATAATAACCATTATAGAGAGCCAAACTAAGCATATTCGTAATGCATAACCAACCAGTGAGTATTCCAAGAACAACTCCCTGCTGTTCAGGCTCAGCATTCCTGCTGACCATCGCACTGATGGCTGGATATATGATACTGGCTGACGCTGCCAGCATTCCTGCCACCCACATCAGCCTGGCAGAGAGGGAGGGAGAGGGAGGGAGGAAGAGAGAGGGAGGGAGGAAGAGGGAGGGAGGAAGAGAGAGGGAGGGAGAGTGTGTGTTCAAACTGTTTTACACACATTTTCAAGCATGCATTGTGTGATAAACCCTCCAGCTTCTCTTTTTTCTCCTATATTCACACTTTCTTTACGTTTGAGCTGTTCTGTTTACATACAACACTTAAATATCGAGCCAAAAATAAAGAAGAGAGCTGAAACAATAAGTATGTACAATATGCTTGTTTTCTCTTTCAGTTACATTTTCACAGATGATTGTTTGATAGTCTGCCTGTTTGTTTCGTGTTTGTCTGCGTCTCTCAGAAGACATGTCAACGTACCAAGTACTGGTCGATATGCCGTAGATGACGAGTTGTGTGGCCTGCAAGAACAGACCGACTATAATGCAGTATTTGTTCCCAACGAGAGACATGAGGAGCGTTAGTCCAGCCGTCTGGGCCACGACCGACGTGACACACAGAACTGCAATGAATATTGCAACTTGACCGAGAGAGAACCCCACCACCTGGTTGGTAGAGGAGAGGGAGGAGGGAGAGAGAGGAGAGGGAGGAGGAGGGAGGAGGGAGAGAGAGGAGAGGGAGGAGGGAGAGAGAGGAGGAGGGAGAGGGAGGAGGGAGAGAGAAGTAAAAGGACAGAAAATAAACTATTACTTATAATACCAGAAGAAATGAAATGCACGAACACGAGTAAAAAAATTCAACTTTTGTAAAGTGCCGTAAAATCAGGCAATTTTAATTGCTGGCAATTACTAGCTGTCTTGTTTGTCGCAACTAAACACAGCATATAAAAGGACGCAAGTGTAAGAAAGCCTCAGAGGGTTACGGCATACATGAGAGACGCGAGGACCTGTTTGAGATAGAGAAAGAAGCAGGAGTACTGGCCGGCCTCGGGGAGGTAGGAGAGGAACACGACCACAGAGAGATGGAGGAGACGCCAGTCTGTCGTGGCTTTCCTCAGCGCCTGCAGAATGTAATTAACTCGGTGTATATACTCTCTCTATGGACACTGAATGAGGTCACCTCTCTTTGATGGGGATACTTCCTTATTAGGGTGTACCTTATCTTTCCTTTGCTTACCCTTGAAATCTGGCCGGTGTTAAAAAGGGAACGTCGCAGTATATAAGAACTTGAAACGGAAACTTAATTAGCATTTTTCGCCAGATTACTATCTCTAGTATAATTTATTATCTGTCACATTCCCTATAATATTAGCAAGAATGCGGTAAGGGGTGAGGGTGGTGGAACAAGAGAGAGGTAGGTAAGGGTTATGTATACCGCAAAAGGGTCAGCCTGTTCCCAAGTGATGGGGGCGCCCCACGAGGCCTTGCGAGATTTCTCCGGCAGTGACTCGGGGACCATGAACACGATGAAGACGAGGTTGAAGATGGTGATCATGGTGGCAAGGAGGATCACCTGTGCCTGTCCATGGGTGTGGTCTTCAATCCACGTCCCCAGAGCCGGGCTTATCACGAGACTAGCTGCAAAGGTTGCCGATACCTACGGATTTGGAAGAAAATAAATCAGGTTCATTATGAAAGGGGCACAGGGGAACAGTTTGGAGTGAAATATTTTGCAAATCAAGGGATGCCTGATTATCGCAGTAAAAAAATTTTCAGGCAGAAACGATTTTAAAGACATGAGCAAGATTTTAAAGAATCTTGTTGTGTGCGATAGTAAAGGTATCCACGGACCAGGCCGTATGCTGAACTTCTGTCATCTTCGATGGTACAGTCTGCAACATAGGCAAACACGATTGAGAACGTCACTGCAAATACACCGGAAATAGCCACCGCCACAAAGTAAGCTCTGCATGGAGAGGAAATAGATATTATATCTTTTACTCTTTTTCTTTTTCTTCTCCCTCCCTCCCTCACGCTCTCTCTTACACTGGACTGAAGAGAAGTATGGGGATTGGGGCACACGTCATGAAAACCGACAGAAGTAGAAATGACTTTCTTCCCCAGGCATCCGAGAGGGCTCCAATTAGAGGAGCCGAGAGAAAAGACAGCAGTCCCTACGAAAAGATGAGTTCACCAAATGTTCTATTTGATCCCCACCAATAATACACCGTATATACCTTTATTCCCTGAATGATGCCGTTCTTTAGGAATGTTCCTGTAGGGAACGCAGTCTTTAACGCCTGTGGCAGATACAAGATTCCTATCATAGCAGAAGACACAAGGATATTAGGAGTAAGAGAAGAGAGGAGAGGGAAGAAATTTAGACACACCTCAATGGTAGGTGAAGTGAGGAGACCCCAGGCAAAGAACTCCAGAAAGATGACGATAGTGGCGTGGACAACACTCGGTCGCCCGTAACCCTGAGGAGAGGGAAAGCCGAAAATGGTCAAGCTTCCGAGCTTGATGTAGGGTTGTTGGCTAGTTGGTCTACCTCCACGACGTCACATCTTGACGAGACGGGGGAGCGCGGTCTGCCGGGACCACGTCCCGTTCGCTTCGACCCTCCAAACAGCGTCTTAGCTTCTTCAGCGTCTTGCTTTTCCGAAGCTTCTCCATAGTTCGCTCACTCGCTGTTCATATTACAACGAAAAGTGTGTCTTACGGATAATTAGAGAGCAAAATCTTTACGTCACGCGGTCGGTGCGCATTATTTGACGAAAAAACAATTTTCAAGCGCGACGCCAGATGGCGGCTGAAGAAGGGATATCGCGAGTTAGCGCTCCCATAATCCTGCTCCTGGAGGCTCTAGTGTCCCTACTTCTAGACGTGTACCTGCGTGGATTACGGGGATATCCGAGGCAGAATCGTGGTATCAGTTACCACGTCCTTCTGGTGCCTGCGTTCTCTTCATCATCTTCTGTCCTGCCCGTGGACGTGTCGTCGGGCCTTCTACACCTGCTGCCTCGAGAACGTAAGCGTGACCGAAGAACACGGAGGCTCAGGGGCCGCAAGTATACGGAGGCATGCGACTGCTCCGGAACGTCGGCCGGGACCCACTTCCGAGTGTATTGGGAACCGTACTCGCGAGTGCCTACGAGTGCTTCCAGGCCCTACTCGGTTCATCCTGCTTCGACTCCATGAAGATCACTCTGGTTCATCATCTACTGGTGTTTTTCGTCCTCTCCTGGTGAGCTTCCATTAGAACCGAAGTGGGCGTGTCAGTGGTGTGGTTTCAATCCAATCCACAGGGTGGTGATTCCTTGGGACAGTCGTAAGTGCTGGCAAGTTATTCTCTGTGTGGAAGAAGATTGTGCGGATGCTGGTCGAGAACATTCTCATTTACCTCTCCTCTTCGTCATTTTCTTCATTCTCTTGTGTACTCGTGGGTCATCAAGAAGATAGTGGCACTGTGAGTGGCGATTTTAGTTTTATCTGTCTCCACCTCTCTCTCTCTCTATCTCTCTCTCCTCAGCCAGAGACTCCATGGTGATAGCCACTGCCTCTAACACGTGGGGACTAGTTATCCTAACTCTTCTCCTTGGCTATGGTATTGTAGAGGTGTGTGTGTGTGTTATATCCACCGATTGTGGTGTGCATGAGTGGTTGTAGTTACAGTGGAACCTTCAAACTATGGGGCCAATCATTTTGTCCCTATGTAGAGAGGGCGTCCCTATCTTGGAGGGTCCCTTATCAGAGGTTTCCACTGTATTTAGCAAACCTGCCAGTGTGTGATGATGTCATTGTGTGGTCGGTCAGGTTCCGCTCGCTGTGGAATGCGTCTCGGAGATCGTACACACTGAGTCACTGCTACTTCAAGGCCGCCAAGTTGTGCACCGACATGTCTGAAGCTGACGAGAAACTCAGCGATGCTGTTGAGGTATACATATACACTGTATATAGCCTTTACTCTTGTGGGCCGAGTAGTAGAGCATTAGCTACATTGTCGACAATTTTGTTCAACTGTTACGTACATGACAAGCGTGTCCCCGTTTCAGTTTCTGTGATGACATGTGTCCTGCCATGGACAGTGTACACGTGGTTCATCGATATCCTCTCTCATCTCCAGTATTTTCAACCTCTCTTCTGTTTCTCTGTGTACTCCTCTCTTTTTGCTACCCCATCCCCTCCCATTTCTCCTCCCCTCTCACATAAGAGAGTGAACAAGGTGACCCAGAGACTCCACTACAACGACCCGCTGCGCAAATACGTCGACATCATCATAAAGAAGTTTCCGGAAGAAGTCCAGGCAGAGTTCAACAAAGGTCACGACGACTACGAGGACTATAGGGAGACCAGTGGAGAGGACAGTCTCTGTAAGAGCTCTCTCGAGAAGCTGCTGAAACAGTCGATGAAGGCTGTTCGGATGTCACGGAGCACTCACATGTGAGTTACACACTCACTGGGGATTTAGGAGGAGGGGTTACATTTTCCATAGAATTCCACACAGATTCTCACGATCATGTCTGTGTATTCAAATGAAGAGAGTTTGCAGCAAAAGTCTCACTTTTCCTTTCATGTAAATCAGAAGCCATCAGTTCCCCCTGATTCCCCTGTCTTCTGGTTCCCCCAGTCAGTGGGAGATCCTCACAGACCAGTGTCTCGATCTGGAAGACGTGGAACAAAACCGCCACTCCAACTCACGGTAAACCTGTCGCTAATCCCGTCTGACCGGTTTGAGTCGGGTTTTCCAAACAGGTTTTTCAAGTCTTCCCTTCGACCCAGTCCAACAACATTCCTGCAGAGACATCTACCTTATCTTGGTAAGTATGCCACATACAACCTTCCAACTTTTCTCTCATTTTTAATATGACAGTAGGTGTGGCTAAAATTAGGCATGTTACTAAAGATAGATAAGGGCAGGTGCAAGGGTTCATCAATTAAGTTTCTATTTTCGGTAACAGTTTCTAAACTTAGCCCTAATACTACTGCCCCAATTGACTTCATTTCTGTAGAATGGCATTGGAAGGTGTGGCTGAGGAGTTGGGTGTACCGTGCCGTTGCCGTGTGCCTGGTCTTCCTCTCCGTCACCATAGTCTGGTCAGAGGTGACCTTTAGTATCGACCCTCCGAACCACGACATCCACCTCTCCTTCTTCGCCTTCCTCGTCTACGCCGGACACAAGTTCCAGAACTACATCACGGTTGAGGTGAATAAGAGGAGGTTGGAGTAAGGAAGATTGAATAGTTGAACCCCTCTCTAAAGACACCCTGAATTAAGAACAAGGACACCTTTTCTTTCACAATGAAAGTTTTAGCATGCAATTTAACCCCTGAAATAAGGACACCTTTTCATTCCCCGATGGTGGTGTACTTGCACGTGGTTTAACCCCTGAAATAAGGACACCTTTTCATTCCCCGATGGTGGTGTACTTGCACGTGGTTTAACCCCTGAAATAAGGACACCTTTTCATTCCCCGATGGTGGTGTACTTGCACGTGGTTTAACCCCTGAAATAAAGACACCTTTTCATTCCCCGATGGTGGTGTACTTGCACGTGGTTTAACCCCTGAAATAAAGACACCTTTTCATTCCCATCGATGGTGGTGTACTTGCACGTGGTTTAACCCCTGAAATAAAGACACCTCACTAATATGAACACTTTCCCCCTGCCATTGGTGTCCGGATTAGAGAGGTTCCACTGTACTTGTACTGCCATGAGTGAAAGGGTCTCTGACTGCAGATTCTATCAGTTGGTGTGGTTGCGTACCTCAGCCTGTGTGCGTACTTCACGGCGTTCCGGATCAGAATCTTCAACCTGTACAACCTGGCACCTCGTCACTCGACCGACGAGTACAGCCTCCTCTTCAGTGCAGTGTAAGTCCCAGCGGGTCTCATGGAGGCAAATTTAGCAGGGACAACCAACCACAGTGAACCACCGTGCCCAATACTGTACACACTCTTGATGTCTTCTCTCCCAGTAAAGCCCCTTTAAATCTGAACTTAAATTCCCAGTATTGAAACTTGAAACCGAAGAAATTTTGCACTCACATTCACTTCACCGAAAAATGCATAACCCCCCACACTCACACACACACACACCAAGGTTACTGAGTCGACTAGCTCTCCCGGTGTGTCTGAACTATCTCTACATGATCCAGGTGGTGCGACTGGTTCACCACGACAACGAAGACAAAGTCCCACAGACCGCCTTTGCCTACGTACGTACATGTGTCAGCACCTCACGACTAATGCTCCAACAATATATAGCAAATTTCAGTTCTACTTACGATGATTTACACAGTTTGGAACCAGACCAGTCATACACTACCAAAATCACCATAGATCAAAATTTCCCCCAAAAACTTTGAAAAGTCCACCATAATAATAGCAGTTTGTATCCATGTGATTACTCCGTTTATTTTTTTACCATTCACCTGTCTCTTTCCCACCTGCCACTGCCGCAGGCAACGGGCAATACATCGCTGGTCCCCTGGCTGACCAGCTATTTCTACATCTACTACCCAGCACTCATCCTCCTCGTCTGCATCGCCACCTTACTCAGCTGCGGTACTCGCCTCGCCTCCGTCTTCGGCTACCAAAAGTTCATCGGGGAGGACGACTTCTCGGCCGATTACATCGACGAAGGAAAGGTCCTCATGAAACGAGGTGGGTGTGGTGTTTGGGTGTGGTTTTGGTTTCAGTTTCAATTTGTTGTATATAGAGAGGAGGCTGAGAGAGAGGAGTCTAAGGGAGGAGGGAAACACTGGGGTGAGTTCGTGGCAAACTTGAAAATGCAGTTTGACAGAGACATTTTTGTGGTCCGCGCTCAATGTGCAGATATGTAGCTATTTAATGTGCCACTGTATATACTGCATGTCCATGCTCACAAAGAATTCGGTCAAACCACGAAAAAGGACAAGTTAGAGGAGAGAGAGTTGGTGTTCCGGAGGGGAGAGTGAGGATACATGTCCTGGTGTCTCTTTCCCTCCTTCAGTCGCAGAGAAGACGGCTGAACTCCTTCGAACAACTCAAGTTGTCACGAGCAGTTCGCTACAGCCACCAGCGAAGAGAGAGGGCTCCAGTGTCGGAAGAATCTCGTCTCCAAAAACTCACCACACAGGTATCATTCCCACGTTAACCCTCTTCACGCTGTGGTTTAACCCTTTGGTAACCTTCTGGCCTCGACAGTACTTAGAGACCATCTGCCCTTTGTGTGTTAAAACCCTTCAGAAGGCAACTTTGTTGTGGATAGCTGTTCAAGTAACGGTACTTAGACTCATTTTTACAACTACTTCTTTTTCACAAATCTCTCGTGTTAGCTACTGAATTCTTATTTCACTGCTCTACTGATGGCAGGTAAAGGGTTTGGCTACTAGAGGAAAAGAGAAGGTTTCGGCCAAGTACAGTAAGAGGGACGACACCGTCGAGTTACTGAATCGCTCCTCCGCCACCTCCAGCGACAGCACGTCTGTGGGTGGCCAAAGGTCACTACGCAGCTACCAGCCTCGCCGTGGCGACCCTCCACCATCAAACCTATTCAACGACATCTGAATAAAGTATTTTTCATCTGAAACTGCGAAACAGATTATTAATCCACGACCATCCGTTTTTCTAATAAACAAGCTGAACCAATGTTGATTTTTTCATCTAAAATTCTGTTGCAAGATCAGTTTTTTAAACTTCTATTGATCACAGCAGCGAGAGCACACGTGACAACGTTTCTAAACAGAATTGAAAAATCTAGGATTTAATTTACTCTCATAAACAGTAGAAAACAGAGTGTGTTATATAAAATTATGCAACACGTGGATCGACTTTACAGAGAGAGAAAGAAGGATAAGAGAGTGTGTAATGATGTGTTGGGAGAATAACACAGGAAGATGAATAGTTGTTACACACACGCCGTTAGTGTGATTTTGCGCAGAATCAATGTTTATGGTAGCTCAGCCGCGGTTTGTCATCCGAACTACGTTTCACTTTCAGTTCCCCGCCACTTTCTGCCAGTTTCCGCCACTTCCGTCGCTCCTTGCTGTCGTGCTTGTGTTTCTTGTGTTTCAGCCTCGCAAACTCTTCCGTTCCGTCCCCTCCCTCCCCACCACCCACCCTCTTCCCCTCTTTCCTCCACCGTTGTTCCCCTCCTCCGGCCTCTTGTGAAGAGTGTCTGTCCGTTCTCGTACGATCTTCGGCCACCAGACTCGACTCGCGGCTAGAGCAACGGGAATCTTCCAAGACGTCGTCCTCGGAGACACTCTCGTAAGATCTCTTCCTCCCCGACGACCCGTGTTTCAGTCTCGACGAGGGGGTGTGGTCGGAATCTTCGTCTCCTCCCCGGTGTCTCTTGAAGACAGCTGCCGCTCCTCGCTCGTCGCTGCTGTCGGCCGCCGAGACGTGCTTGTGTTGATCTTTCTCGACTCGCGCCAATTTCCTAACACCGGACTTGGAGGAAGAGTCGGTTCGGTGGGACTTGTGCTTGCTGGGGGTGTGTCCTCTCTCCCGGTTGTGGTCTGTGGGGGACCCCCGCTCCTCCCTCCACCCCCCGTGAGAATTCAGGTACCCCTTCCCCCTCCCCTTTGTCTGGTCTTCCTCAGCCATCATCTCTTCCCAGTCTTTCGCATGGTCTGATGGACGACATTTTGGTTTGCCAGGCCCCACCTCCCTCTGGTCCCAAGCTCCGCCCACTGGGTGTGGCTCCGATGGTCGGGAGTGGCGAGGAAGTTGGTCCTCACGAGGTCTGTTGCTGTTTGGGTGTTTCTGTCTGTCTCCACTCACAGGCTTGCTAGGGTGAACGTGGCCTGATGGAGGCAGAACCCTCGGTTTCACTTTCCTGATCTCCGACGAGGAAACGTGCTTTACTGGATCTCGATCGCTGGGTCTTCCATCGACCTTTGACCTCCGTGATCCCTCCTGGGGGTCCACATCAAACAGGCCACGCCCCCTGGACCCGGGGTCCAGCGGCCTGGACCACTTCTTTGACCCTCCTCCTCCGTTTTTCTCCTCTCTCGGGTGCTGTTTGTGCGTGGTGAGGAGTTTTCGCGACTGCTGATGTCGATCGAACCCCGACTTTCCCACGGGGAGTCGGTTCTGTACGACGGGCGGAGACATCCTCCGCCCAGTTTCGGGCGGAGTCATATCATGGGCAGGCTTGGTGGAGTCTGTGTCTTTGTTTTCCTCGGTGGTGTGGGGAGAGGTGTTGAAGGTATGTGACAACGGTGGTTGCTCTGGAGGACAAATTGGACTTATCGCTCTTTTTTCTGTTGTCGTGGTTTCAGCTGTTGTCATGGTTTCACAGTGATGAGGAGACATGCTGTCAGCCTGAGGGGCATTGCTGGTCGGTTCACTTGCAGTTGCGTTGATGTCGGACTGAACAGGAGAAGAGAGAGGGGGAGGGGAACAGTCTATCAGTGATGATTCCACCCCGGGCTCCGTCTCGGGGTCCTCCTCTGTCTCAGAAGGCCAGGAGATGCAGGCACGAGGACTTCCACCTCTGCCAGTGTCCCTCTCCTCTTCTCTCCCCTCGGGCTCCGAACCGGCCACAGCTGCTGATGTATCAGAGACGAATCCATTTGTCTCGACGGTCCCCCCATGTGGAGATCCACTTGCAGCGTTAGCCTCCGTTGCAGATTCCATTGCCGTATCGTTCTCACTGAGGTGGTTTCTGAGCCTTTCGCTATATTCAGGCGAAGAGAATGGCTCCTCGGTGGCACTGCTCTCTTCCATAGCCTGACACGAAAGAGCTCCATCACTGGAGAGATTCAAGGCTTCTTCAATAGGTTCGCTTTCGATTCATTGCCAGGTGAGCCGGACGACTGTTTGAATAGACCGGAGTCAGAGAGTGGTGGGGGAGGGAGAGAGAGGGGGAGCCTGTCCAGAGAGAGATGTTGGGCCAACTCCTTCATCAGTAGGTAAGGGAATGAGCGGGTGTATTGGCAGGAGAGCTTGACCAGCTTGTCACTGGCACAGAAAGACAGGGGGAGGCGGAGGAGACAGTGTCCATTGGGTGATCTCCCTCCACTTCT